TTGCAAAGGAAAGATCAGCTTTCTCCAGTGGAGTTCCCCTGGGTAGAAATCACACTCAAGGGCAGGCCCCATGCCCACCTGTAGACGGCCAACAAGAGATGAACTCAATGGTGTTTTTGCAGCCTTTTTGTCTCTTTGCTTTGTTTGGCCTTTTTTCCCCCTTAGTGACCTTTTGCTTGTATATTATGCTTTCTGATTTTGTATTTTTAGGGGTTTTGAGTGTTTCTTGTGCTTTCTCTTTGTTATTTTTTATTCTAGTTTGTTTGATTTTTGTGTTTACTTGTTTGTTTTCAGAAAGAAGGCGACATGAAGTCCGGTGGGTGGGGAGGAGGGGCAAATCTGGGATGAGTTGAGGGAGGGAAAATTGTGATTGGAATACTGTATGAAAAATATTTTCAATTAAAATAAAAGTTCTGCCATAAAGTTTTATGACCAGACAGCAATACCCTTCTTGTTGCTGTGACCAAATGCCTGGGCAAAGCAATGCAAGGAAGAACAGCTCGTTTTGGTCCATGGTTTGTGAGGATATTTTAGACCACGGGGTAGGGATTCATGGCTGATGGGTGTCATGAGGCAGCAGGTTGCTTTGCATCTGCAGTCAGGAAACATATGGAAAGGAGGAGAGGGAGGCAGAGAGAGAGTGAGAGGAGGGTGCTGGGCCCTCGTTGAGGGTGGGTCTTCCCTCCTTCCTCAAACCCCTCTGGAAACACTATTACAGACACGCTGGGAGGTGCTCCTCCTTGGTGATTCCACATCCAGTGGAATAAACAATGGCAGCATGCCATCAGCGTAGAATAAAACCTGCCTTTTACCACCAAATCATGTTCTGTTCGGGAAATATAGTTACCTTTATCCACTCATATATGAACATACATTTGAGTTGATCTCTTTTTTATAAATTATTTCTAAACTCTAGACCAGTGGTTCTCAAGCTTCCTAATGCTGTGACCCTTTGTAAAACAGTTACTCATATTGTGGTGACCTCTAACCATAAAAAAAATTTTTATTGCTACTTCATAACTATAAAATTTTGTTACAGTTGTGAATCATAATGTAAATATATGTGTTTTACCAGGTCTTAGAGATTCCTGTGAAAGAGTGATTCAAACCCAAAAGAGGTCATAATCTACAGGTTGAGAATAGCTGCTCTAGACTATATTGTCCATTTATCTTCTTCCCAGGTTTGCCACTATGCATGGCGCTTAGATCTGGTTCTGGGGACACTAGATATCCACATGCAGTACAGTGAAACTGAATACTTTCCTACCTTATGCATAAAAAATCTGAAGTAGATCAAGGATCTGAGAAAAATGACCTGAAATTTTGAATGTGCTAGAGGACACACAGGAAATACTCTTCAGTGCACTATCCAGGGAAGGACTTTCTGAATAGGATGCCAGTACCTCAGCAACAAGAAATAGCACATGGAATTGCATTTATCTGGAGACTTTGTGTAAAGGAAACATTTTTTTTATTAATTAATTTTTTATTCATTTTACATACCAACCACAGATCCCCCTCTCTTCTCTCCTCCTGCCCTTCCAACCTTCACCCCTCAACCCACCCCCCATTCCCTCCTCCAACAGGATATAGCCTCCCGTGGGGAGTTAGCAGAGCATGGTACATTCAGTAGAGGCAGGTCCAAGCCCCTCTCCCTGCCTCAAGGCTGTGCAAGGTGTCCGTCCCACCATAGGTAGTGGGCTTCAAAATTCCAGCTTATGCACGAGGGATGAATCCTATTGCCAGGGGGCCCTTTAAGCAGATCAAGCTATGCAACTGTCTTGCTTAATGATATATACAATCCTCAACATCAGTGTGTAAGTGGTCTTTTTGTCTTGAGGTCTTACCAGAATTTGATGTTGTCTTTTTGATGCTAGTCATTCTGACTGTTGTGGAATGGAACCTGTGTCATTTTTGTTTGCATTCTCTGATTGCTAAGGATGTAGAACAGTTTTCATATGTTTATTGTCCAGTTATTTGAGAACTGTAAGTTCAATTTGTTTGGCCATTTTATTGATTGAATTATTTGCATTCTGGGCTGTTTAATATTTTGATTTATTTATACACTTGAATAGAAATCCCTTGTTAGATAAATAGCTGATAAGTATTTTCTCCCATTCTCTAGGTTGTTCCTATACTCTGTTAAATGTTTCCACAGTCTTCAATTTGATTCCATTGGTCCACATGTCCGTTTTATGCCAATACTAAGCTGTTTTTATTATTATAGCTCTATAGTAGAGCTTGAGGTCAGGGATGATGATACCTCCAGAAGTTGCTTTATTGTACAGGATTGTTTTAGCTATCTTGGGTCTTTTGCTTTTCCATATGAAGTTGAGTGTTGTTCTTTTGCCATTTTTACTGTGTTAATCCTACCTATCCATGAGTATGGGAGATCTTTCCATTTTCTGATATCTTATTCAATTTCTTTCTTCAGAGACTTAAAGTTCTTGTCATACGGGTCTTTCACTTGCTTTGTTGTTTAGTTATCCCAAGGTATTTTATATTATTTGTGGCTATTATAAAGGGTGATGTTTCTCTGATTTCTTTCTCAGCTCATTTATCATTTGTGTATAGGAGGGCTACTGATTTTTTTTTAGTTAATCTTATATCCTGCTACATTACTGAAGGAGTTTATCAGCTGTAGTAATTCCCTAGTGGAATTTTTGGGGTCACTTATGTATACTATCATATCATCTGCAAATAATGAAAGTTTGACTTCTTCCTTTCCAATTTGATCTCCTTTTGTTGTCTTATTGCCCTAGCTAGAATTTCTAGTACTATATTTAATAAATATGGGGAGAGTGTACAGCCTTGTCTTGTTCCTGATTTTAGTAGAATCTCTTTGAGTTTCTCTCCATTTAATTTGATGTTGGCTGTTTGGCTTGCTATAAATTGCCTTTCTTATGTTTAGGCGTGTTCCTTGTATTCCTGATCTCTCCAAGACCTTTAGCATAAAGGGGTGTTGGATTTTGTCAAAGGCTTTTTCAGCATCTAATGAGATTATCATGTGTTTTTTTTCTTTTAGTTTGTTTATGTGGTGGATTACATTGAGAGACTTTCATATGTTGAACCATCCTTGCATCTCTGGGATGAAGCCTACTTCGTCATGGTGGATAATTTTTTTAATGTGTTCTTGGATTCAGTTTGCAGGTATTTTATTGAGTATTTTTGCATCAATGTTTATAAGGGAGATTGGTCTGTAATTTTTTCTTTGTTGCATCTTTGTGTAGTTTGGGTATCAGAGTAACTGTAGCCTCATAAAATGTGTTTGGTAATGTTCCTTCTGTTTCTATTGTGTGTAACAAGTTATAATGAACCTCATTATTTTGTACAGTGAACATATGCTGATAAAAAATAATAAAAATAATGAAGCAAGTATCCAAGAAAAGAAAGAATATTTCCAATAACTATGACATTTTCATTTCCTGTGAGCTTACACAATAACTCCAAAATTGTAATATGAACCATATACATACATGTTATATTGTCATATCTCCCTGGAGAATCATTCCTTGTGCACAGTGTGTGGTTTAAGACTGAGAAGTACTAAAGAAGTCAATTTTCTGGACTGATGAATCTGAGAACAGCTTATCTGAGGAAAGCTGAACTCTCCAAACGGAGGGGATGGGGACTGAGAACAAGCTAGATGGGGGTTGCCCAAGGCTGGGAACAAGTTGATAGGAACAATGGTGTTGGGATTTCAAACTAAGAAATGGGAAAAAAAAAATGGCAGACCAAGGTGGACAGAAGACCCTGCATTGTATAAATTATTCACACCCATGGCATGCATGGACTGACAAAGCGAGAGTTATATCACTAATGGTAGACACATGTACAAAGCCAGGTGCCGTGTCCTCCAACTGGATTTTATCACTAGGGCAGTCCAACTCCTGGGCCATTCATTTACTTTGCTAAGAAGAGGAATGGGAATTCCTTAACTCATCCAAGCATTTATGAAGAAAGTGTCATTTGAATATTTTTCCATAGTAAATGTGAAATCTATGCCTGATATATTAAAGCTGCGTGTTATTTTCAAAATTGGAATTTATATCTTTTATATACAGTCAGATCACCTAGAAGAAAAATATAGAAAATAGCCAATAAATCTTCTATGTTATTTTCATTTTTTTTCACCACACACTGGGTTCATTTGTTTCCATAGAAATGTGCATAGAAAAAGCAGCGGTGTGAGGTAAACTGAAGGTGCAAGGAAGAGCACAGCACACTCACATTAGTGACAACGGCAGCGGTGTGAGGTGAACTGAAGGTGCAGGGAAGAGCACAGCACACTCACATTAGTGACAACAGCAGGCTTGTGTCGGTGGTGTCGAATGGCCGGTCCCAGACTGACTTCAGACTCCACTGTTCGGAATAGACACCAAAACATCATAGCATGCGAACACTGCTTACTGCCTAGGAATGTATGAAACAATAATACTGAAATGGAAGCCCAAGAGGCTTTTTCTTGATCACAGCGTTCTTACTGTAATTGATGTTTATAAAGCTCTGTGTCTCTTTTCTTATCTATGACTCTTAGAATCGGAACAAACAACTGAGATTCTCACATTGTAGGTGAGGCCCGGTCCCCTACAGATAAAAACTCACACCCAAGTGTCTCAGTCACAGTGCAATTTGATAGGAATTTCTGCTGCTTCTTTACATGGAGAACTTACACTGTAATAATTGTTTCCCAGGTGCCTTATTTGACCCAGAAGAAAAAGACACTGAACACTGGCTGGCTGGATTCAATCTTGTCCAGTGGAGCTCAGAAGTCACCAATCACTTTCTGGATTAATTCATTAAGAAAGTGGCCTACATGGAAGGGACGTGGGGACTGACAGGCAATCAACTGATGGAAGCAAATGACACAGCCGAAACATTTGCTGTTTCTCTTTCGTGCGGCTCCCACAAAACAAATCTAGCCGCTCCCTCACTAGTTCCCTCTTGAAAGGGCACTCCGTCTTGTTCTCTGTCATCCTTGCATGACATTCCATTAGGCACTTGGCTTATTTTTAGCCAGGCTATCAAAATATTTTTCAACTGGTCTGTTGCAGCACTAGAACTTGGAATCTTGTATCCTGTAGGGAGGCAGAGAAGGAAAGCAAACACTTGTTAAAAATGGGGAATTACAAGTCCAGACCTACACAGACTTGCTCTGGTAACTATTCTTGCTTTCTTCGTGTCTTGCTAACTATCTTTACATGCAACATGATTCGATTGTAAGTATAGATGAGCAATAGCTCACTGAGATGTATGCTTATTTGAATACAGAGAATATTAAGTGTTTAGATGATCTGAATTTATGTTTTTTCTCTGAAAGATTATTGGCAGAAAACAGGAAATGTCTTGTAAAAATATTAGCTTAGTCCCTTGGTATAATATGGTAGAAAGCTTTGGAGTACTGTTGAATATAGATATTTTAGAATTATATCTTAAGTATCTAGTATTTAAAAGTTAAAAGACACTGTCTACCATCTAGAGATTGCTGTAATTAAAATGCAATAAAATCAAATGAAATAAGTCAAATATATTCTTTTATGTAAATATATTGTACAATATCAAATGGGTTCTTAATTACTACAATCCCAAAGTGATTGCATTATAAACATAAACATCTGCATTAAACCCACAATCAGTCATTTAAATTAAGTATTGTAGAATTGAAACTGGAAAAAACAGTTTTGATTACTTGTATGTTATGATCTGCGTCTACATTTTGCAAAACGCAATTATGAATCAATCCCATTTGTTTTTCCTTTCCAGATGAATGGAAGAAGAAAGTTAGTGAATCCTATGCTATTATAATAGAAAGATTGGAAGATGACCTGCAGATCAAAGAAAATGAATTTACAGAACTAAGGCACATCTTTGGGTAAAGTTGTCTGAGTTTTTACTTCTTTGAATATGTGTCTTCATTATTTATCTTGTTTTTAGGCATGTTGACATGCAGATATAAAGCCTTAGATATAAACAGTCTAAGGATAGTCTTAGCTATGACCAGACTAAGTTTCACAATTCTGGGTTGTCTGTTCATAAGTATTCATACGGCTCCCAAAATGGAAAGCTCACATCTCTGTGAAATGTAAAAGTTGAATAAAAGGAGCTTGGGGGCCAGCCATTGAATACAAGCTGTCACTCTTTCAAGTAACCTGCTCTGAAACTAGTAACTACACTCTTTAGTTTGTGCCACCAAGAAGCAATGCTGCTTATTTCCTGGGGAGGTTGACACCCACCATGAGTCTCCTCAGAGGGCCAGGATAAGTTTCACCAAACTCCTCAGTCTGTAGACATTGAAGGCTGTCTCCTGTGGCTCTGATTATTTCCCCTTGGTCTGTAGACATTGGGGGCTGTCTCCCAGTGAGACTGATTATTGCTCCTTGGATTGTAGATGTGGGAGGCTGTCTTCCAGTGGGACTGCGTATTGTTTTGCCCTCATGCTCTTATAATGTGTGATATCATAATAAAAAGAAAACACATTTCCTGGTCTGGGACAGTGTCACAACACTGCAAGACACACGATGTTTAGGACCCTAATTTGTACCAACAACCTCCTAGAGAAATTGAATCTGATACTGAGGAACTAGGTGTGTTTCGGTATAGCTAGCTCTCCAGCTGGCTTAGTTAGGGCTGATTTGCTGTGATGAAACATCATGACCAAGGCAACTTGGGAAAGAAAGGGCTTATTTCACTCACAGTTCCATATAACATTCCATCATCAAAAAGGAGTGCGGACAGGAAGTAAAGTAGGGCAGGGACCTGGAGGCAGGCCCTGATGCAGAAGGCCATGGAGGGGTGCTGTTTACTGGCTTGTGTCCCATGGCTTGCTCAGCCTGCTTTCTTATAATCCCCAGGACCTCTTGCCCAGGAGTAGCCCCACTCACAATGGTCTGAACCCTCCCCCCATCAATCTCTAATTAAGAAAACACCTGCCCTATAGGCCTGCCTATAGCCCACTCTTACTGAAGTGTTTTCTCAACTGAGGCTCTCTCCTATCCTGTGGATCTAGCTTATGTCAAGTTGACATATAGCCATCCAGCACAACAGCCAAAGAGAAGTTAGACCTGGCACAGTTGTTCACATCCACTTCGGCTGTCATTCACATATTACACTCCTAAAAAACAGCATCCTTGAGTTTATTTAGAAAACCAGAGTTTAGCAATGCCCAAATGGCATGTTTCTCAAAAGAAATTTCAGAGCCGAGTGGTGGTGGTGCACGCCTTTAATCCCAGCACTCGGGAGGCAGAGCCAGGCGGATCTCTGTGAGTTCGAGGCCAGCCTGGGCTACCAAGTGAGTTCCAGGAAAAGGCGCAAAGCTACACAGAGAAAGCCTGTCTTGAAAAACCAAAAAAAAAAAAAATTTCAGATATGGTAAGTGTACAAATGCACTATGACAGGAAAATGATGTCATGCACTTGTCCTGTATTTTATCTGAACTTCACCCACAGAACGTACAGGGCCTTGACAGGGCTTCAGTTGGTACTTCAGGGAAGTTGGTACTTGGGATGAGAAGTCACTGAGGCACCACTTCCTCACACAGTATCACCTCATGCTCAGGTACTAGGAAGCATATGAAGTTCTCTTGGAGATGTGATGAGAAATTCAAAATAGCACATCATATATCCATGTTTTATTTCATTAGAGAAGGAATATGGTAGTATAACTTAGTCATAAGTCATTTCCTACTTATTGATTCCAAAAAGTATAGTGACTAAAATAGGATCATATTAGAAGAATTTTTTCAAAGTTATGAATTCAAAAATATCATTTAATTTTAGTTAAGGAACTATTTTGCTTACACCAAGGCTAGCCAGCAGAAACATTATGTATCTTTTTAAGGATTTTACTTAACAAATGGACTTGAAGATTTTTCTCAGGCTGTACCAGCTGTTTTTCCAGCTCCTGGTAGAGATGCCTTTTTTTTCTTAAGCTTTCCACTAAGTGCTACAAATGTGACCTTTTCACTAATTAGTGCTGAATGTGAGGTGCAGAAGTCAGTGCCAATACCTCATATATAACATAACTTCATCTCATCATAGCTTATGTGGTATATAACATTAATTTTGGTGAATAATAGGTGAGTAACACGACCTTGTGACCTGTCAAATCCTATGTAGAGCAAATGCTGGAATGTGACTTCTAAGACTTGCCTGATTCACAGACAGAGAGCTGCCTCTTGCTCTAGTAATTTCTACTGTGGTTGGGGGAAACCTCAGATACATGACAGGATATTGACACTTAATTAGCTAAGTAGAAGGGAAAAAAGAAAACAAGATGATTTTTAGTTATAAAAATAAGATTTAGGCTGGACAGGCTCCAAAAGCTACACAGAGAAATCCTGTCTTAAAAAACCAAAAAAAAAAAATAAATAAATAAAAATAAAATTAAGATTTATGGCGAAGGGTGTGAGAGCTTAACAAGTAGAAGCACTTGACTTTAAGCTTGAAGACCTGAGTTCAAGCCCAAGACCCGTATATCGTGAGGAGAAGAACTCTCACAGTCATTCTATGACCTTCACACACACAATGTGGTGCATGTACCTACACACACACACACACACACACACACACACACACACACACACATAGACACATACATACATAATACATGGTGAATACGTGTCATTAAAAATAAAACAATAAGATTTAGGTATTGATTATTCATTAACTTCCAAAAAATATGTGAGTTAAAATGCAAGCTTTCTTAAAGGTGTGTGGAAAGTGGAAAGTGTAAGAAAGATACGAAGAGAAAGTGACTTAGCTAGCTACCTGAGTTGAGCAAAGAAGCATCTCAGTTAGCATAAGGGTTTGGAGCAATCACAATCTTAAATCCAGACTCTTCCATGCAGTCCTCATGTCCTGGATATGGTTCTCGGTCTCACTGAGCCTCACTTGAATTGTAAACTGAGGTGAGTGTAATGAACCTCAGTCTAATATAACCTCACAGAAGAGGCAGAGAATGGGATCATATTGGAAGAATTTTTTCAAAGTTATGAATTCAAAAATATCATTTAATTTTAGTTAAGGAACTATTTTGCTTACGCCAAGGCTAGCCAGCAGAAACATTATGTATCTTTTTAAGGATTTTACTTAACAAATGGACTTGAAGATTTTTCTCAGGCTGTACCAGCTGTTTTTCCACATCAAGCACATCTCAGGCCTTGTGCTATTGTGACTGATTTGTTATATAAGAAATCTTGAAAGACAGACAACTTCCTTATGGAGTACAAACAACAAAATGGTATATTTAGTAAAAGTTAGAAGATACAATAGCTAAAATAAAATGACCTCATTTTATTTTAATAGAAGAAAATATTTCAAAATTAAAATATATAATGTTAGAACAATTCCTGATGATAGCAAATTTTGAAATATATTCTTTGACTATTATGAGTATTAGAAGGCTCTTCAAAATGGATGTCAAATTTCTTGAGAATAGCAATTGGGTGTCTTTTGGACAGGGTGTCCAGTAGCCTTGTGCTGATGGTTGAATACATCTATCTACAGGAATGTCCTGTCAGTCAGAAGGGGTGGGTGTGAGACTGAGAAGAGGATTGCGAAGACCTTTTGTCTTAAAGTAGTGTTCAGCACCTGATAGTGTTATGTGTTTAATGGGTCTATTTCTCATCAGAGGATCCAAGTCTGTAAAGATAACTTCCAAGAATCTGAATGCAGTCCTCAGACAAGGTTGTGCTGAAAGCTCATTGCCTGTGGTGAGCGACTGGTGGCAGGAAGTCAGGAGCTGGCCCAGTCCAGTCAAGAAAACCACAGACTAAAGAGAATGGGGGTGTGAGTCTGTCGATGCGGACGGTTCCATCTGGAAAGTCAATTGTTTTCAGGGCTGAGCTCAGAGAACTTTCTTCTCTTTGGATCAAAATGATGGATGACAGGGAAGAAAAAGGAGGCTGTGCTGTGAATATAAATTGTCTTACTGTTGGCTCATCAACAAAAGTGTTAAGGGTAGTTGGGGGAAACAAGGTGCATTATTATACAGAATCACCTTTGAGGACCTCCATGAAAGACACATAGTAAGTGTCTTCATTCCCCATCCCTACTTCTGGTTTGTGTAACAGAATGCTGCTGTGACAGCCATACCAGGTGCCTGCCATATGCCTTTCTCTAAAGATGCAGATTGCAAGAAGAGGGGGTTCCCTGTCCACAGAGGTGCAGTTAATGCAGTCATGGGTGAAGTTCTCTGCTCAGTTTTGTTCCTTTCTCTGTTTGCTGAAAGATTTGTTTATGGAATTATCAGTAGGTGCTATTCCATTCATTTAGAGAATGTACACTATCCCCATCAGCTCAAGTACACAATATCCCTAGCTTTTACCCGGAGTACAGTAAAGACACACAGTACTAAAGCTATTTCGGTTTAAAAAAAAAAAAAAGAGCTGCATTGTTCTTGTGTCTGTGGCAATTTGTAGTGGCTTTGCCGTGAGAACTTGATGTGAGAGAGGAAGGGAATGAAATAGAATGTTCTTTCCTCTAACGCAAAGTCGCATTCACCTATAGCTTTGGACATGTGTTGAAGACATAGTAGGAGACAAGAAAGGGATGACAATACGAGGCAGCAGGATGGAAAGGCAGAGTGGTGCGTTCACGTACACTGTGTTTCCTGTTAACACCCACAGGTATCAGTACAGTAGTGAGTTCTCCGGGATATCATACATCCATTTCTGGGCCAGACTCCTCTCCTCACTGGTGCTTCTCTGTCTTGCGTGGGCTTTTTATATTTGTATTTATGAATGATACTAGTAGCTTAGTTCTAGAAAGACAAACAAACTTATAAGCCAGTTTCCACCAGGCATGCCACTAAGGCACCTTTGTCCTCTTGGATTCCATCCTCCTGGGACTCTGACATCTCTGATTAAGGCCAGCA